ACAATCAGCAAGATCACTACATAATCACAGACATATGCACAGAGCATGTTGATAAGGAATCTCTATGAACATCTCTACAGCTGTAATCCATAGGGTTATGCAGATCGAGCTCAGCACGAAAAAAAATATTTCTGCATAAACTGGTCATAAAATTGATCTGATCTTTAATTAGGTCAAGACAACAATTAAAAAACAGTCTGCATAAACTGATTTAAAAAGGTACACTGTGTACACATTAGTGATGCGCGGATGAGCCAAAGCGTCACCCGAATCCGCAGCTTCAAATAAATTATCCACCTGCCAACTGCCCGCACCTATATTTTTCCCTGATTTAGATAACCGCACCCGACCCGCACCCGATCATCACATTCAGGGTTCGTACGGTCATGAAAAACCAAGAAAAGTCATGGAATTTTAAAACAGCAATTTCCAGGCATGGAAAAGTTTTGGAAAAATAAATGAAACCAGAACGTTTTGGAAAAGTCATGGAAATCTATTTCACAATTCTCTGTATAAAAGAATTATGTTTGAGCAGGTCCTGAATTTGGATGCAGGATTGCGCATATATCGCATTACTCATTCCCGCAGCTTTCGACTTTAAAATGAGGGAAATTGCAGCAAAACATTTATTCAATATAGCATGTAGGTTTAGATGAGTAAATAAATCCACACAAACCATGAGATCAAATCAGTCATTTGAAAACAGCATGAGTGAATTAGCTGTACCGTGTCCTCTCTTTGACTTTCTCTTCACATCGGCGCATCTAGAGCTGCTGCACGCTGCGATACAAGACTTTAGCTCGTGTTTCGGTACAGTTGACAGAATTGTCACTTGCCTAATCGGTCATTGTTGCATCGTCACAAAAATGTATTATTTTTACGTCTTTTTAAGCCATTTGGTACTCGCGCGCTCCAGAGGCGCTTTTCTGTGCACTCACAGTCACATCCAAAGCGCGCGCTGTGGTCAAATTGAGTTTGTTGCGCTTAAGTGCTTAAAGCTTGTTGCGCTTAAGTGGCCAAATACACACAAAATGACGTCAAAATTGTTGTCCTCGCAAGTATCCTCATAAGCACTGTCGGTTTTGTCTTAAGTTAATGTAAACAGTTGCGAAAGAAAACGCATGTGTATCAGTATTGGATCCGTGAAATAGGTCTTGTGACAGCAGCCTGATAAAGATGTGCCGTCTGTCATTAATGTTAATCAAACAACAAAAGACAGAAAAAATCCCTCACTGCTCTTGACTAAATAATGTTTTGTTGAATAACTTTAATATGTTAATTTACAGTTTATTCAATTTCTGTAGCCTATTTAAAACAGGTTTATATTTTAGAAAAAGTAATTAATATTTGCATCATTAATGATTTATCTTATCCACCCGCAAATAATCAGAATGCATTTTTTTATTACCCAACCCACCTGACCCGCGGATTATCCGCAGCACTCGCGGATATAACCGCCATCCGCGCATCACAAGTACACATTCACAGGTCTGGGTGGAAAAGTACAGTATGTGAATCTCTAGGCTAATGACTTTTCCGAAAGCTAATTGGACTCAGCTAAGCTGGAGTCCAAACAATGAGATGAGGCTGTAGGTGTTGGTCACATACTTTTTCCTGCAACTGTATTTTTTAATGGTGGAAATTTTAAAGGGCAAGTTCACTCAAAAATGAAATTGTCATCTATTACTAATCCTCATGTTGTTCCAAACCCATAAGACTTTTGTTCATCTTTGAAACACAAATAAAGATATTTTTAACGAAACCTTCTGACCCTCCATTGAAAGGCCATTCCACCAAAAATACTTCAAAAAGTTCCTAAAAACATTGTAAAAGAAATCCATATGAATGCTTCTGAAGAGATTTTATTGCTTTATATGATGAACAGATTTAATTGAAAATCTAATTTGGTAAATGAAGACTCAAATGTACTTGTTTGACATGTGAGGAAAAACCTGCATTGGTTCTTGTGCGTCAAGCAAGCACATTTGAGCCTTCATGTTTATATGGATTGCTCTTACAATATCTTTATAACATTTTGGTTGAATGGACTTAAATTGGAGGGACAGAAATATATAATCGAATTATATATTGAAGAAATTGAGTGGTGGCTTCTATAATTAAAGTAATTGAATTTTCTTTTTAGGGCGACGTAACCCTTTAACTAGACAATGTTTTAGACAACACAGGCTGCTTGTCATTGCTTTAATGATACAATTTGAGTATTAATAAGAACAGCGGCTGAAACAGGAAATTGTATTATACAGTAAAAACGCTTCTGATGTCAAGTAGCCAATTTCATAACTGGTACAAGCTGACAGTTAATTTGGCTAAAGTATCATTGCATAGAGTTACTCACCAATAATTAACCATAACGAAAGATGGTAAGCAACAATACCCATTCTTATTCATCACTGAAATGTGTCTAATTATTTTTAGATCCACAAAGTAGAAATGTTAAAATCTATTATTAAGCAAAACGGGGGGAAAAAACACAAAAAAAGGATATTTTTATGCATTTACTGTAAAAATGCATCCAGGGATATTAAGAATCAATATCAGATAACAATTTAAATGAAGACTGTATTAAGTTAGAACATATATCTATTTTTACCCAGTTGTACATCGCAATGAAATAAAACTCCCCTTATTCCCTGAGACTCATTTTCTAGTCTAAAGTTAAATCAAATCAGCGCCGGGGAGGGAAAAAAAAATGACAGCTCTCCAATTGGCTAAGAGAGTCATCGATCACGACGGCCCGTGTCATTACCGTGACAGAGCTGCGCTCTCAGCAATTCAGCTCATATTCTGTTTGAGCAGAGTTCAGAGGGGGACGAGGAGCACATTGAGCGCCTGCTGCACAATACACCTGATTCTATACAGTAATGCTCTCATCTCTCTCTGCCAGCTCTCCAATCAATGCCATTCAGCTTCAATCAATTCTTTTATACCCTATTCAATGGATGGGTTATTGGGATTACTAACAGTATAGACAAAGAGCCTGTAAGCATATGACAAACAACAGAAGGCAGCTCTCAGTGTCTTTTCATTCAGTTACATAAAGTATTTTTTTACTGTGCCAAGTCATTCTCATTATTTGAGATCCAGAGTTAATACCCACAAGCTGTCAGGAATACATTCAAAAAAATGAAGCAGAGTGAATAAGAACTAGGAACAGAGAGGCAGATGATGACAAAGGTCGACAAATACACGCACTGATGCAATCTCAACTGAGCAAACAATATCAAATCAAAATAATCCTGCTGCACTCATGGTCTCTTTGTGTCTCTCTTATAAAACGCAGACTCCAGTGTCTACATAGGTGAGTGTTAAAGTCCCCATGAAATCAAAATTAAAGTTTTTTGGGTGTTAGTATCAATATGTTAGTCTTAAGGTTATCTATAAGGCAGTGTGCTCCAAAACAGTGACAAAATTCGCATTTAGAAGATATAAGCATTCAAAGCTTGCAGTTCGTCACTTCCGCCAAAATGGCTCAACAATCACATGCGCGAGTCGGCACAGACCACAAAATGTATCTGAGTTATTTGAATTCTACACAGAATGCTATATTTTATAGCAATATGGATGAGATTATGGCTGGCATACCCTGTCAAATGCGGCTTTACGGAGCTCAACGTCTCTAGCCCAAGCTGTGATATAAACGAACGCTATTGGCTATTTTAAAAAGGGGCGGGGCTGCTTGATATGTCCCGCCCTGTCTTCCTGTTTCAGTTAAAATGACGTCAACACAGAGTAACGCTGCGTTTTTCTAAGCATTTCAGGGGATTTTTAATGGGAACCCGGCTGCATATTCACACCGACAGAGATGTGCGAGAGGACGACATCAAAGACCTAGAGAGCTTGTATTCTCTACGGAGATCTGGCCCATAACCTGCCCTAGAAGTGTGCATGTGCTTTCGGTAGCATTCGCTTGAGAGAGACAAATAAAAGCTCCTCTTGGTTCTGGGGTCAATTACATTTCAATTTGACCAGCTCAAGAGGTGCACTAAGGGTCAATACACAATTCAAACACACGCATACTAAGCAGATTCAAAGAAAAGCCTAGTTAGGCTAAATAAAATGTGACTTTCTGAGCCCTCTAAGTAAGGATGAAGCGATTGTGTGGATCAGTCACAGTGAGGTTTGGATAGCTGCTCTGCAGGACTGACAGAAAACACTTGAGTTTTTCATTCACTGTAGTGGAATTAAGACTGTTACCATGCCAACAAGCCACTCGGGAAGTGAGAGGTGAAGATTGTTTTGATATGAGGTGCTAATGAATAATGATGATAAATCTGATAAAAATGAGTGATGTACAAGGTTCACACTATTAATTCTGCATCAGATTTGCACTGTATATTAAGAGGGAAATCAGTTTGTTAAAAGTTTCAGGCTTGAGATAAGAGTGAAACAATGAAAAAAAAAAAGAGCAAAGCAGCAAATTTTCTTTTTGGCAGATTTATACTTGCTCTCTTGATATGTTTACTGCCACCATTACAAAACAAGAACAACATTTTAAAAGAAAAAAAAATCATTTTTATTGTACAACAATAGCTGGAATTCTATTATAATTTGATTTGTCATATCAAAATACACAAACATTTTTACTAGAAAATGTTTCCATATGGTGATTTATTTATAATTGTCAAACCATTTTAACTTAATTTTAAACTTTAAAATTAAAAAAAAAATTATGTGAAAGACCTATTTAATATTAGTCCGCTACATAATTTTACCATGTGACACATTTTATCAGCAGAATTCAAAACAATGTTCAATACATCACAGAAAACCAAATTCTTATTATACAGGGTCATCTGTATTTTTAAGCCTTGGAAACCATCCCATTTAAGAAAAACGAATGAATGAAATAATTAATGAAAGAATGCATAAATTAATTAATAAATAAATAAAACCAATTTAGGCCGATTATCCATAGCTGATTGATAAATTCAGGATTATTTCAGTGATCAGTTAAAAAAACAACCAACAAAAACACTTACTTCTTACAGCTGCAGCTGGTCTTGATAAATCAGTCAGTGCATTAGTTGATTTGTCCTGGGTGGAAGTGTGAATCTCAGCATGTGTTCAGACACCTGTAATGAGGACAGAGAGGACATGCGGTGAGGGTTTGATAGAGGACTCCTGCGCAGTTGCGTCACTTTTGCAGTCAATATATGCACTCGCTCATTTGCGAGATGTCTCTGTCTCAGACGGTCCACTCTTCTCTCCTAGACTATGATCTGAACATCACTGAAGAGCTTTGTGTCTGCTGATGTACATGTATTGACAAACCATGTACCGATAAGAACTCACCCCTTGACCAATTACAGTCCGTCACACTTACATGATTCACACTCAGACAGGAGAGAGATCCAGGAATAAAACACCTTCAAAAAGAGGTGAAGGTAAAGTCTTTTAATGACTCTCTAATGGGAGGTTTGATCTCAGACACTGAAGTTGGCCAAAGGCAAAGAGTGGATGAGACATGTGCATACATATTTTAATCGACTAGTCGGTGGACTGCCTGAATGGCTAGCTGACAAGTCAGTACTAGAAAAGTCATGTATAAATAGACTGGGCCATGTCCACCAGACTCTAAACAGATGCATTTCTAAAAAAAAATATATAATTGCGAAAGTTATTTTTAAACTATAATACAGTATAAATGTGAATATAGTAATAACAATCATCATAAAAAAAAAGACATAAATACAAGACACATTTAGCAATGAAAATTAAGGGGATAAAGTTAAATTGCTGTAAACATAAAACACACACACACAAAATAATAATAAATAAAATATAAATAAAAAAATATAAAATAAAACCAAAAAATAAAATAAGGGGAGTAATTGTTTACTGAATTTCCTTTATGAAAAACAGGTTTTCTTATTTTTTTCCATTTGGTTTTGGGGTATAATGTATTCTGACACACACCTGGAAAGTGGCACACCATTAAGAATCAGCTATAAAATACTGTCCTTTAATCTCTCCACAACACCTGTGGATTCTGCATAATAACAGATCATTGCTCGCAGCAGGCGATCTGAGGGCTGATAGAGATCCTTTTAAATCTGTTGAAGGTGGTGAATTTGTACATAAGCGGTGCTTTGATGTCGATGGAAACAGTGCAGCATACTAAAACATTCACTGAGATGTTGCAAATCCCAAATATTTGCTTCAAAAGCATAAAAACACCATCTTCCCTAATCAACTAGCTGGTTGTTAGATAACTAGTCAACCATCCTGACACATAACCACACACATTAACACAGCAAGTGCTAAGTGACACACTTGTCTCCGACATATGCTGGACTCAAGAAGAAATGCATACTTAATATTATGAAGAGTGAGAGAAAGATATACAGTTCAGATAGGGCTTCCAAAAACAGAGACCTCATGGTGATCTTCACAACAACCAGCATGCATCTGCTGTCTGTGAGTGCATTTGTGCTGGAGCTTTATTCTTTGGCTGGTAATGCACGACAGGAGGCTGAGAGAAAAAACAAGGACACATGGAGAGAGAGAGAGAGAGAAGAGGGTGGGCAGAAAAGACAACAGAGAAAGTACCCAGGAAGGATCCTTTGTTCTTGCTGATGCAGATTGAGATTTTAATGTTTAATGGATCTCAGAAAGATGCAGATCATCTCTCAGAGGACCAACAGAGGAAACCTTAACCATGATGTCAACTAACAACACGCCTGCACATGAAAGTAGTGATGGGTCACAATGTTGACAAATCGTCTAACAACTAGTTGATTGGTTTACTTTTACTTTACTTTGTGATATTTTTAGAGCGTGTTTTAATTAGCATTCTGACAGTGTGCTGTATTGTTGCACTGTAAAACCCTCTCAGAAGGCATTGCATTTTTTAATTTATTCTCTTTAAAGCACAATCGCTACATCCATAAACATGCAGACTGACTGTCTTCAGTTGTTGTGTTGCATCTCACGTTGTTTGAGCGTCCCGCCATGAGCGCTGCAAGACAAAGCGCTGTAGAAGTTAAAAATAGTCTGATTTTTCAAATGCGTCTCAAGACCCCTGTGTTCTGTGCCACTGAATTTAGCTATTGTATGTAAATGCCCCCACTAAGAAATGAGTCAGAGATCAGGCAAACCTAAAACCAGACCAGATTAGATTAGGCATTCAGATAACCCAAAGACTAGTTGATTTGAATGTAATGTGTAGTTCTGCACATTCATAACATGGACCCAAGGTTAAAGAAGAGGGATGTCATTGATCCAACCAAAAAAAAAAAAAACCATAATTTAAACCAAACATTTACAAAAATGACATGTATAGTTAAACAGCACTCATCCTGTCTCTCCTTCTCATACACACAAATCAACCTCTGCACAGTGTCAAAGTCCCAACGAGAGCCATGTTCCACTCTCCACTGCACTGACTAATTCAATATTGATAAAGAAACTAAACAAAACATGGCTATCAGCACTGGAGGATTCCCAGTAGCAACTGTGAGCAATCTCCCAACTCTACCCTCACTACATGTCTCTCCTTCCCATTTATTTCACTCTGTTTCCTGTACAGTCCTTGGCTTTCTCCAGTTATATTCAACATTATATTCCGATTACCATACTACCGCACCACTCAGTATTTCCACAGTATATTACAGTATGAAGGGGGATTTCACAAAACAATTGTCACTCCCCCGTTTGCATAAAGAAAATGGATAAATTTAGCGGAATTAATTATTTTAGAACCATACTTTGCTGTACTGTGACAATTTTGAGGCAATTCATGATAAGCTCTCCACAATCTCTAATTCATTCACACATTAATTTTTTCTTTCCTGTATTTAAACATTGAAACTAAAAATAGCATTACAAATGCTTTCTTAAATTTATTTGTATTTAAATTAGTGTGAAGGCAGAACAATAAATGCTACCACAATGTTTTACAATTAAGAATAATTATTTTATCATTTAAGTAATGAAAATTATTAATTATTTATTTATTTAGCATTATGATAATGGGAATTTGGGGGAAGTTTTAAAATTTAATTGGCAAAAAAAAATGTAATTACATTACAAATAATAATAATAAAAAAAATAAATGCAAAATATAATTTACGTTTTAAGGGTGAAATATGATTTAGACATGTTCTTGGCAGATTTCCAGATATAATATCTGCTGTAATTTAACATCATTTAGACAGGATGCTTAGTGTTTAAGACATTTTAACCCCAAATGTAATCAATTCACAAATAGCATATTTAATGAATTTCATTACGTTTGAGTGACAAACATAGTAAATAACAGTAAATTTGTAAATCGTGCAGTATGCAGCTCACTAGTACTCCATTCTACACACAGTGTGATTCATCCATCTACATGTCCTTTGCCATAGCCCACCCCTACACAGTGTCCTCCCATATCAGCGTGACAGAACAGTGTCTATAGTTCATGTAGGATGTTAATTGATTGGCTAAAATCCCTAAGCCTGTAGACAGTGTGCTGATTGGCTGAGTATTTGACAGCAATGGAGACCCTTATGTCAGCCTGTAACAGCTCTGCATCATCAGGTCGGAACAGGACAAACTCCATCTACCCCCTCATTATGCAGTTTTCCACTCACTGCCAGTTTGCACATGCAAAAGCACACAGAAGCCTACAGAGACCTAAAATGACCTTTCAAAGAAACCCAGCACTCATTTCTCCATCACTGCACCATCAAGCCAGCAGCAGCAGCAGCAGCGGTGAGTGTGTGTGTAACACCGTATGGATGGCTGTGACTCATCGCTCCGGCAGGAAATCGTGAGAGAGTGTTACGACGTCGACACCAGTCCATGTGCAACGACAGGGAGAAGATTAGAAAATGATCATATTGAAGATTGTGGAGGGCTGTGCTGGCATAATTCACAAATAAAAGATGAGTGGAGGGAGGAGCGATGTAATAAGCGAAATACCCTTTTAAGATGCTGCAATCCCAGTGACATTTCATAAGCGCTGCTTCCAATTTGTAGACTGCACAGGTGAGAATCGCGCCACACTGGGGCCATGTGAATGATTTAATCACACTTGAAACCAAGCCACGTGTAAGAGAGATGTAGAAGAGAGCAACAGTCTCATCACAAATCTTATCATAAATCAGCTGCTCTGTGAGTCAAGGCGAACGGAGGGACAATAAAGCCCACTCAGAAAACACTTTAAATTCATCAGTGTGATATGTGAAAGTGAAAGAAACGATTTGTTTAAATCCTATAATAAAAAGACTGTTAGAAAGGCATCACCATGGGACAGATATGGCCGGTTTAGCTCTCTCACACATCCTTGAAGAGCCACTCAGCCTCTCTGAAGGTATTTCATCATCTCTGCGACGCAGAGGAGATAAAGCAAAGGGGAGAACCTGTTGTCATATAATCTCCTTATCCTGACAAATACCATCACTCTCTTCAGCACTGGACACAGCATTTGCACACATCTGCCTCAAAGACAGTACATAACAGTACAACAGTGTAGACCCATCCATCCTCTAAACCACTAGCCTTATGTAGGGTTGTGGGCAAAATGCAAAATAAAAAAGTAAAATAAATCCATCAATTAATTAATTAATTAAAAAAAGTTTGAAGAAAAAAAATTTAATAATAAAAAAAATCTATTATATTTTATTTGTACAATGAATATCTTTTGAAATATACACTTATATTCAAAAATGTGGGATCAGTAATTTTTTTAAAGAAATTAATTTTATTCAACAAGGTTGCAATAAATTGATCAAAGGTGACACTAAGGACTTTACATTGTTACAAATAATTTATATTTCAAATAAATGCTTTTATTTTGAACTTTTTATTCATCAAAAATTAATAAAATGTACCATGGTTTCCATGAAAATATCAAGCAACTGTTTTTAACAGGGATAAAAAAAAAATAATACATCTGTTCCTTGCGCACCAAATGAGCATAGAATGATTAGAATGATTTCTGAAGGATCATATGACACTGAAACTTTAGCTTTGCCATAACAGAACTAAATTACTATTCGTTCTTGTTCTCTAATCTATTTCAAAATATACTGAAAAAAGAAAAGAGTTCTTTTAAATTGTAATATATTTGTAATAATTGTAATAT